AAAACCTCCTACATAAGTACACCACTATGACTTTTATTAAAAAATATTATTTTATTTGACAAAATAAAGTATTAAATGAAACAATCAAAATGCAGTTTCTGAAAACAAACATTTGTGGTAAAAAAAAAAAAAAAAGACTTCATTTAAATCTATTGTTTTTCATATCAGGGTATAATCATAAGTCATCTCTGTTAACAACATTGAACAGTCACGTTGTGCCATCATTTATTAAAAGAAGAAAAAAAACATTTCATGGTCAGGAAGTCTTTTCTGTTGGGCGTTTGGCCGTTCTACTCGTGCACACGTGGTGCTCTGGTTTCTTCTCAGTCTTTAAACATGCACGTTGGTGAATGACCTTCAGGACTGAGTGTGAGCAGGTCTGGTTGTTTTCCTCTGTGCTGGTCATGGGACTGACAGGTGACCTGTCTGAGGTAAACCTGTTTGATACCTGCTGACAGCTGCAGAGGGCCTCAGCTCCACGCAGCCCTGAGAACTGTGCGTGTGCATGTTTGTGTGTGTGGGGGGGATATGAAAGAATCCAAAAATCAGAAGCAGTGGGTGGAAAAACTAAGAGCCTTTTGATTTATAGTATAGGTAAAAAAAAAAAAAAACTCCTTTTGGCACAATAATATTTTTATATTTATGGATTTTGTAGCACGGTGGTGCAGTTGGTAGAGCTGCTGCCTCTCAGGTTACCCTGGTTCAAATCCCGGTCCAGGGGCCTTTCTGGGTGGAGATTTCACGTTCTCTCCATGCATGCGTGGATTTTCTCCGGGTACTCCGGTTTCCTCCCACAGATCAAAAACATGCATGTTCGGCTGATTGGTAACTCTAAATTGTCTCTGGGTGGGAGTGAGAGAGTGAATGGTTGTTTGTCTCGTTTGTCTCTGTGTCCATGTGATGGACTGGAGCCCTGTCCAGGGCCCCCGCCTCTTGCACAGTGATGGCTGGACATGGGCACCGGTGACCCCCGCGACACAAAGAAGGAACAAGAGGACAAAAGATAATGGATGGATGGATGGATGGATGGATGGATTGCAAGTTTTTTGTCCTGCTGTTTTCTTTAAATATTTATTCGGTGTGTTAAGGTTGGCAGTATTTCCCCCCTCTTTTATTGTCCCAGAACAATGTTTGAATGAACTGTTCATGACCCAATGTCATCCAAGTTTCAGTTATTGTCTAAAAATAACAAAGCAGAGATCATTAACAACTACAGGAACTGAAAGCCTTATAGAAATCACTCACCACCTCTCATGTTAGTGCTTTAAACTAAGATTTTATTGATTAATCTTTATTTCACCAGGCAAATTTTTAAGGTTTTTAAGGTTTTTAAGGGTTTTCAAGGGTTTTCTGCACTCACTCTCATGCAAGGCGGATGCCTTTTTCGCTCCCTCTCCTGTTCTCCTCCTGCTTTTTTTTGCTCTCTGTTCGTGTATCGGAGCTCCTACTACACATCTTCTGAAACGAAAACTACTGTCATGGATCTGGTTAGCTGCACTTTCAACGCAATTGATAAAATCTTTTCAACAAAGCGACAGGGTCCTGGAGAGCCCTCATGCCTCGCTGAGACCCACACGGCAGGATACGTCATGGATCCATGGGGAGTTTGGGAGCTGATGTGTCTCAGCCATTTTGTCTAAGAAGGACGCCGAAGATGTTTATATAATTGGATTCATGATAGCAGGGTTTCTGCTTTTTGACATCAGCGGATACCTATGTTATCGACTATTAAGGAAGACGGTGGCAGCAGTTTCAGCAATGGAAAAACGGCATCGTCTGTGTGAAGGTTTGGTTCGTGCTTCGAGTACTCACAATCAGCTGATTTATGAGGTAAATCACAAAATGGAAGTGATTTGTATGAATCGCAGGCCACCTGCAGCTTCTGGGGCTCGCCAGCATGTTGGAGACGACCTTGGAGAAGCCTCGTAATCACGGAGCAGTGGAATGCCCACTAATCTGGCCCATTTGGATCTTGAAAGGACCAGCAGGACTCTGGGCTGACAAGAAAAAAACAGTCTGCCTGAAAAAATCAACAATTGTGGCGTATCTGAATCTGACTCCCCCAGTTGGCCTCGAAAGCAGGCTGACTGATCAAATTTATCCTGGAATATGTGTAAACTAAGGAAAAGCTATGTCTACCTTGAAAATAACATTATGATCGACCTCATGCGATATCACAAGACATGATCAGGGTATGTTTAGTAAATGACTCTCATGTACAACCACAGCAAATTTTATCACAATATTGATACAACTGACTAAATTATAGCTATTTTTGTAGTTTTTTTTTTAAGTCAGACAGCTGTGGTGGTATCTTCAATATTGCTTCAAATGGCTATTTCCTGAAAGTTTCATTAAAATCTGTGCAGTGGGTCATGAAATATTTTGGGAGTTGAACACACACACATACACACACTTATGCGTTTAGAAGACAGCAGATAAAATAAAGCAGAACTTGACTGACACCCTCCATGGCAATGTGTAATTACAGTCACAAGATGGAAACTAAAAGTAATAATTAAAAATTCACCTCTTCTCTGTTTCTTAATTCCTTCGTACATCCCTCGAACATCCACAGGAGGAGAAATTTAAATCAGCGCAAAATGTGCTTAATGAAGCCTAAAAGCTAAAACAGCTGCAGAAGTGTGATTTGTGCTAATGGTGATTCATTTCCACCTTAACTTCTCATGGTGTCAGGTGCAGACGATGAGTGCAGAACAATAACTCCAAGCTGCTTCGCTGCTGGAGTTTGGCAACAGGTTCCTGCCTCAGGCTCATCTGCTCATTTCCCTAATTTCTCTTTGTTAAACTGAGCATGATGCTTCCAGCCCCTGCAAACTTTGTCCGTCTGTTTATGCAGCAGTTTTTGTCAGAAAAACAAACTTCATGAATGAAAAACATGCTGCTCTCAAAGGATTCACAACAGAAGAAAAGCGAGCCTGTTTGTGTTCTCAGTGGAGTTTCTCTTTCTGTTTGGTTGTTTCTGAACCCCAGCTGGATAAAATATCCTGTTCAACTACAGGAAAGTTTCCCCACTCTGGGATTATTTGGCTGTATAAGCAAAGCTCTTGTTACATTTTATAATAGAAAAGGCTGCGGCATGATGGGAGTGTCTGCCTGAGCACAAAGTGTGCATTTCTCCATGAGCAGCTCGGCGACACACAGAGACAACAGCGAGGAAAAAAAGGTAGATTTGAACATAAACAGCAACAGAGAGATGGGAAAAGGCTGGAGTGAAGGATAGATGAAATACAAAAGAGAAAGAAGTGCTTTACAGGAAATGAAAGGAGTGCTGAGAGCTGAAGCATGGAGGTACTGAAGCAAGGAAACAAAACAAAATGTCTTCAAAACCAATCTGCACAATATTGTTAAGACAGGCTGTCGTTAAGATTCATCTTTGTTCACTAAACTCTATGTTTATTACAGGCTGTGGAAACATCACTCAGTGCTGCCAGTTTCTGAAGGTGCATGAAATGAAATGAAATACCAGTAAATGACCAGTACCGCTTCTTTAATCAGCATTTACTCCTCTAGATCTCTAGTAAATAACCATCCATCACAGGTGTTTTGAGGAGATAAAGGTTAGCTTTAATTGTTTTCATTGTAGTTCTTCAAGTTAAAAGTCTAAGATCAACATCCTGTCAAAGTTCTGAGGCCTCCTGTTTCATTTTACACAGCCAGAAATGGGTCACGTGTTGGCAATACATCCCCAGCTTCATTATCCCACTGCATGAAGGGAGGTGGGAATCAAAGTCACGGAGATCTCAGCACTCGAGGGTTTCACGTTCCCCAAAAAAGCTGAGTTAAATATATAAATGCAGCGCTGATCCAGTAGAAGAACAGCAATCAGTCCTGATGTGCAGGAAAATGCAGTCCATTACGCATGTAGGGTCAACACACACACACACACACACACACACACACGGCTTCAGTGAGGAAACAGGATATTTAGATTGTATAAAAGGCAGCCATGACCCTAAACGTTCTGTTGTTAAGTTTAACATGAATCCATGAGTCTTCAGGTGCATTTAATCTGCAATTTATCAAATCCTACAACTCTTCTCAAACAGGAGCACAGCTGCAAAGACTGTCATGAAAAGTGGAAAAGGTTATAAGATTACAAAAATTGCAGCTGCATGTGCAACTTCATGTGCAGCTGTGCTATGAAATATGAAAACTTTTTTTTAATGTAAACGACTGCATGAATTATATTTCATGGTTTCCCACACACACACACCCCACCCCACATTTTAAGGCACTCCAGTAAGTTATAAAAGTGACCTTTTCTGTGTAGATGTCAAACACAAGCCTCCATATTAGCAGAGAAAATGTTAAAGTTAAAACTAAAGCCCACAATGAGGCTTATTGTTTTTGTGGTCCTCGTCTGTGGCATAGTTGATGTTTTAAAGTAAAATCAATAATCAGTCTGACTTTAAGTTACTTTTGTTTTTCCATAAACTTCTTTCATACCACTCCTTATATTATTTCCATCAGTTAGCCTTATGTGCTTAACTGTAGCCTTAACTGAATTAATTTAAATGTCATTGATTTGAACTTATTTTACTCAGCAATTCATTGATGTTATTCTTATTTTAAATTATTTTTTTATTCTCTTTTTAAATGCTAGTTTTATTGTTTTCATTTTTAAATTTCTTATTTTTCCATTTTTAATGCAAACTTCTTTCCTCATTCATGAAATTGCATTTTCTCAATTCCTCCATCGCCAACATATTTTGTTCCTTTAATGACTTTTTGCCGTTGGTAATTTTTTAAAATCTGGTATAAAACACTGTTACACTTTAAGGATAAAAGATGTTTTATAAACAACGTTTGAGTGATATTAGTTTTAAAAAGTCTTTCTTTTCGATGGCAATACAGCTTTATGTGACTTCTACAGAAATAAACTCTGAAGGTCAACTAAAACCTTATATCTCAAAACTAACCATTGAATCCAACACTAATTATTTTTCCAGCATGCTAATAAAACGTAAAGCCTCAGCTTATTTTATTGTGTTTATTGGCATTTACTCTCATCATCACAACAAAGCACAAACTGCTTTACAATGTAACAAATGAGAAAACTGTATTCCTGGACGGGACAATGCAACAAAACCTGGAACAAAATCCACTTTTAGCTCTTCTAGCGGGCCGAGTTCAGCTGAAGCTCCGTCCCGCAGCTACAACCATCAAAACAAACATTTACACACCAGAACACGTAGCATAATGGAGCAAAGCACGATACCTTCGCTGCAGCATTCAGGCGGGAGGCAAGAATCAAATGAGTTTATGTTGCAGACTGAATCACAATTGATTGGAGACTGTGCTGCCTAGCAACCAGGCAACCAATCACGAGGCTGGAAACAAATAAAAGCTGCATGCACCTATTAATTCATGGAAATTTCACTCCACGCTCATTTCTTTTTAATACAGTGAGGTATTTTGCTGAACGGTAAATTATACATGAAGTTTCACCATTAAAGCACAAAACGACGAGAGATTTTAGTCTTTATTTGTTAAAAATTGTGCGTCGGCAGCTCAGTATAACAACTTCCTCAGATTCAGCTGGAGACGGACTCTGTCACTCCTTGTTAGCACAAAACCTGGGCAGGTCCTCCAGTCACCAGCAACTTGCAGATGTACAGCACCCTCCAGTGGATTCACTGAGGAGTGTCCTGTGGAAGGAGGTGCAGCACCTCCTTTTAGTAAAAACAAACCCTGTGCAATGAACTGTGTCCATCAGCTTTGTCAAGTGTTTGCCAGACCTTAAAGGTCAAATCAGTCAGCGAGGAGAGCTCGGCTCTCAGCGTATGTGCGACATATCTTCCAGGTGAGGAGTCTTCATGCAGCCCGTGCACAGCTGGTCCATCCACAGTGGGGCTTCGTGCTGGAGAGGGGTGCGGCGGGGGTAGAAGGTGTACGAAAGGTCGTAGTTCAACAGACAGCTCAGAGACGCCATGTAGATGTCTGAGAATCTGCTCAGACGCCTGGAGAAGTAGGTGGGGTTGTGACACGTTCTGAAGATGCTGCCGAACTGCGGGTTGAACAAGTTCTTCGTCATCACCCTGAGATAGACGCAGGTTGTAAAAGTTAAGCGTTGAAATCATGAGGATCATTGTTCTCACAGAGAAAAAGCAGCCAAGTACAAGTAAACATTTAAACGTATTAATGTTACAGTAACACATTCACACGTCTACATCCAACACAGCTGATGTTTAAAGTAGAACAAACCTGAGCTCCTTAAAAATACAAAACAAACTGCTGCAGCACTGTGACTGAACAGAAACCACAGCATAACCATGTCGGGGAGTTCACGGGGTTTACAGGGAGGGCTTAGAACTGAGTGGAGAGACTCACCGCAGCTCCTCTCTTTCCTTCTGCCACTCCTCAAAAACCTTCTTAGACTCCGGATCCCGGTGAATCTAGGATTACAAAAAAAGAGAATTTTAAAACACGCATATCTAGACGTCAGTATGTTAGCAAAATATCTCCTGAACCTTAGGAAGAATTGTAATAGAACTTTTAGAAAACAAGACGTCTATAATTTTAGGCGTCTCAGCTGTACATCCACTGATTAACGTTTGGAATCAACACTGCTTCGAAATGATGCTACAGCTAATCAACATTAGCTAACAGAAAAATGTCTGGAACTCTAACAAAGTCCATGCTCAATAATCCAGGTATACAATCCTGTACAATCTGTCTGGAACTCTGTTTCAGTCTGCACTCTTCCCAGGATGCTACGTTTACAATTCGGTCTGAAACAGTTGCATGTGCTGCATTTGTACTTCAGAAGGTTGCACATGATCCAGTCACAAGCTAACCGGGAGTTGTGTGTGTGTGAAGGCATTTCCTCCATTAATAAAGATCACAAGGGTCACATACATGTAGAGTCTCAGTGATACGTATTCCATGACTTGTCTTGTGCTCAGAAAGTGAAGTGGTTTACTTGTGAGAGTATAAACATGTCCTGAAAATGATAAAGTGATTAAAAGATGAAAAATGCACGAGATGCTTTTAAACTGTGTATATATTTGGCTAAAATAACTTAATTCTGTGTCAATATTAGTTTCTCAAATTGAGCCTTTCATTGATGTTTTGCACCAAATCCTTCTTCTTTTGGCTTTTCTCTCTTCAGGAGTCTCTACAGCGAGTCATCCTCCTCCATCTCACTCTGTCTTCATCCTCTGTCCTCACTCCAACTACCTCCATGTCCTCTCTAACTACATCCATACATCCATACATCCATATATCTCCTCTTTGTCTTTTTCCTGGCAGCTGCATTTCTAACATCCTTCTACCAATATACCCACTGTCCCTCCTCTGGACATGTCCAAACCATCTCAGTCTGGTCTCTCTAACTTTATCTCCCAGTTGTGCAACCTGTGCTGTACCTCTGATGATCTCTTTCCTAATTTTATCCATCCTTGTCACTCATAAGGAGAACCTCAACATCTTAATTTTTGCCACTTCCAGTTCTTTCTCCTGTCTTTTTGTCAATGTCTCTGTCTCCAGATCATACAACACAGCTGGTCTCACCACTGTCTTGTAAACTTTTCCTTTGACCTTTGCTGACACCCTTTTGTCACAAATCACTCCTGAAACTTTTCTCCATCCACTCCATCCTGCCTGGACTCTCTTTTTCACCTCTTTACCACATTCCCCATTTTTCTGGACAGTGGACCCAAAGTACTTGAAGTCCTGCACCTTTGTGAACTCTGCTCCTTGTAGCCTCACTGTTCCACCGGCCTCCCTCACATTCACGCACAAGTACTCTGTCTATCTGTGGCTGACTTTCATTCCTCTTCTTTCAAGTGCATACCTCCATCTCTCCAAGTTCTCTTCCACCTGTTCTATGTTCTCATCACAGGTCATAATGTCATCTGCAAACATCATAGTCCATAGGGATTCCTGCCTGATCTCATATGTTAGTCGATCCATCATCAGAGTCAAGTCAAATTTATATATAATAGCACATTTAAAACAGTATCTGTTATCAAAGTGCTGAACAAAAAATATCACAGCATCAAATAAAAATACTAAGATATAAATAATTACAGCATCACGAATAAAAGCATAAAAACATGAAACCTAATTAGAAACAATGAGAACACTAAATTAAAATCACCCTGAGTTAGATGTCAAGGAATAAAAGCAAAAGGCATGAACACAATCAGCAGCAATGAAATACCAAAGCATATCACACTGTATTAAATGCTAATGAGTACAGGTGTGTTTTGAGGAGAGATTTAAAAGCAGAGACTGAAGTAGCCTGTTGAATGTTAATGGACAGATTATTCCAGTTTGGGCCCCATGACTGAAAAAGCCAGATCTCCTCTGAGCTTCAACCTGGTTTTTGGTACCACCAAAAGCAGCTGGTCAGATGATCTCAAAGCCCGAGATGGAGCATAAGGATAAAGAAGGTTGGAGAGGTATGAGGGTGCAAGGCCGTTAATTCACTTGAATGTCAGCAAGAGAATTTTAAAATCAATTCCAACATGCACAGGAAGCCAGTGAAGGGAGGACAGAACCAGTGAAATGTGCTCAAACCTGTGAGTTCCTGTTAGTAGCCGGACTGCAGCATTTTGGACAAGCTGGAGACGTGAGAGAGAGACTTGACTGACCCCAGCATAAAGCGAGTTACAGTAGTCCAGCCAGGTTGTAATAAATGCATGGACTAATTTTTCAAGTTCAGATCTGGACAGCACCGTCTTGAGCTCAACTATCTGTCTTAGCTGAAAGAAGCTCTTTTGAAGAACAGAGTTGATCTGCTTATTAAACTTAAAATCCTGAAAACTAAAACTATCCCGAGATCATTAGACTCTTTTAGATATGGCTGAAGGGAGTCCAGATTTGCAGGATCAGTGACAGTGGCAGAGCTAGGGTTAAACACAATGACCTCAGTTTTCTGATCATTAAAACTCAAGAAGTTTGCAGCCATACAAGTCTTGATGTCGTCAAGACATTTTAGCAAAGGGCGAATGGAGGAGGAATGGTTATGTTTTAACAGCAGATACTGTAAATCTGAGAATCATCAGCATAACAATGAAAGATGATGAGTTAAAACAACATTTAATTTCCCTCTGGGATTAATAAAGTATTTCTGAATTGAATTGAACTGAAAGGAAAGACCATGTCTCCTCAGGACAGACCCTAAGGAGAGCAGATACAATGCAAACAGAAGGGGTCCAAGAATGGAGCCTTGCGGGACGCTGCAGGAAAGAGGTATTGAAGTAGATGGTGTGTTAGCAACATTTACACACAAACTCCTGTCACTCAGGTACGAATGGAACCATTCTAACGCTGCACCAGTAATCCCAACCCAGTGTTCTAGCCGGGATAAAAGGATACTGTGATCCACAGTATCAAATGCAGCAGTAAGGTCAAGAGTACCAGAATCACAGACTGACCAGAGTCATTTGCCAGAAGAATGTCGTTGCAGACCCTAACTAAGGCTGTTTCGGTGCTGTGTAGTTGCTTAAAGCCAGACTGAAAAATCTCAAGAATACAATTTTCATTCAAGAACTCGTTTAATTGAGTGAACACTATTTTTGCCAGGATCTTAGAAAGAAAGGGAAGTTTGGCAATAGGTCTGAAGTTTGAGCAAGTTGAAGGGTCAAGTCCGAGTTTTTTAATTAATGGAGCTACTACTGCATGTTTAAAAACATTAGGAACCATGCCTATAGCCATACTGCTGTTTATAATAGCAAGAACAGAAGGTCCAATGGAGGGTAGGACTTGTTTAAAAAATGATGCAGGGGTGGGGTTAGCAGGGGAACCTGAGGGTTTCATATGACCAATGACATCATTTAGAAATGAGAGGGAAATTGGTTCAAACTGGGTAAAGACTGCTGTGGAGGAGACAAAAACAGCGGGGTCAGCTGTGGTGTAAGGAATCAATGACCTAATCGACTCAACCTTTTTAACAAAGAAACTGGCAAAGTCATCACAGCAAACAAGAAGGGGCTCAGAGCTGATCCTTGATGCACTCCCACCTCCACCTTGAAGCTATCTGCATTAGGGCATTAACAAGAGTACTCGAGTAATCTACACATCGCTTGCTAGGACATCTATCGAGGTTAAAAATGTAACGTCGAGTATCCGTAGTGACGTCATATTATGTGACCACCGTATGACCGTAGGGGGTGGTGTTGCACTGTTGCAGGTCACAGAATATGGTGTAACACCGGGTTCAATCTACTGAACCAGAACCAGCTTCCTCTGACCTTGTTTCACAAACAAAAAGCAAAAAATATGAATCTCTAAACCTATAAAAATATCTATAAACATATTAATCTCTAAAACTAAACTTAATGCGCACCAC